GGAATCACTGACATTTACCCGGCTGGAAACTTTATGGACTGGAGATCACCTTTTAAGTGGTTCCAATTCTGATCAGATCTGTGTACATGACTTAAACCTCTGCTTCTAGGGCCATGGACTGAAATTTTAAATGGTGACAGGTAGTTTTTGGTCTCTTACTCTTGGAGGTATTTGACTTAAGAAACAAAAAGAGAATGATTCTCAGAAGACGATTACCCCTGTGCTTCTGTAAATTAAACCATTTAAAGATAAAAAACTAAAAATGAAGCCACCTAAAACCAAGGCTTTTGAAAATGTTACCCAAATCATCTGTGATCTGCAAAGTTCTTCCTGTTTGTACACAGACTCAAATGTTTTCGGAAGTAAATAAAGGGTGAAATAAGGATGGAGCAGGGATTTTTCCACATAAGGCTATTTCTTCTTCTAGCAACTAGGGGAGTGAAAAGTTCTTTGAGAAGCCCTATGACATTTCAGAGAAAGAGGCAGTTTCCCAGAAATTCTTCAAATATCCTGACCTTCACAGTGCTAGCATTTCTACATCGCTCACGCACAATGGCCCAAAAGCGTAATGCAATCACTGGTCAGTCTCGGCAGCGCTCCACTCTGACCTACTCAGCCTTCATCACAACTATCCTAGAGGATCAGTGCTCAGCATCTGCGTTATTCACACTGCACAGCAAGCCCTGTGTGTCTACGCTGACCCTAAATCCACCCATTCCTGTTAGTAGCACTTCTAGAGACATACCATATCCCATAGCTTATAATAACCTCCAATGAACTGGGGCGGGGGGGGACTTGCCTGTTTCTCTAGGTAACCTGTCAGCACAAAAATAGTTTAGCCCACAGCCTCCCTGCAAGACTGATGCAAATGAAAATGGTCCCTAAATTCTGACCTGTATCCAACCATGTAACCAATTTTCAAAAAAGGAACAGTATTTGGGGTACTGCTCAGCCAAGAATCTGAATTAACCCCATGTCATTTACACCGCCTTAGTGGCAAAGCTGTATACTTCTGGCCCCTAAATAGTCCTTTGCTCTTATTTGGGAACAAAAGCACAAAACCTTAAACTGAGCAGGTGGTAGAAGACACAGCATAATCCATTCTTAAGGACCTTCCATATGTCCTTTCCAATATGCAACAAGATACATTCTCCTTTCACTTACATTCATGCAGTCCCACTCAAATCTCACAGTTTAGTACCATAGCAAAATTCATCTGTGAAAATCATGCTGTGCATGATGCATCCATTTTTTTTACACTGCAACAAAACAAAAAGTCGCAAAGGCCTGTCCAGGTATCACAGATTTGTACCAATTCTCATCCCTTATTTAACTCAACCATATATGCCCTGAGTCACCTTGGAAACCTACAGATTTGTATCCCTAATGGCTTCTTCCTTTATCTCAGTTTCTCCAGTCCTAAAATAATGGTAGTGATACATACCTGACTCCTAAGTTGTGACATGAAGCTTAATTCATTCAGTACTCTTCAATACCAGAAGAGACTTACAGATGAATGGTGCCACAGGGAAATACTGACCAGCATGTTTGTGTATTTCTGGGTGCAATATGGACTTTTAATATTATTCCAAAATGAACACACATGCAAGATGTGTTCAGACTTCTGTATTTCTAATAACTTTCTTCCAGGAATGTCAAAGCTTAAAATCTAAGAAATAATTGCTCTATAAGTGCATGCTAATGGCTTGCTTTGCAGATGGAAAATAAAAAACTTATGTTTTCTTGTAAGCACAGGGTTGACACTGGTTTATTTCTTTCAAAAATACTTACAAAAGCCAGGATTTCTCTGTATATATGTGACCTTGATTCCTAGATGGCACATGGACTACTTTAGAGATCATGTTACTAAGTTATTTGCCGTTAAAGGGGAAAAAAAGGCTAAAATTAATGGGTCACTGGGTATTTTCTTCTGAGAACTTAAGTACTTAACAGTAAGAAAAAAACAGTTGACAGCCAGGTGGCTTGAGGGGATATTTTGTTGAACACTGATTAAAAATAATTTCTTCTAAATGAGACCTGACCACAAAATGGGACCATTAACGAGCAGGGACATTCTCACCAGAAAGGAAACTACGCTTGATCAACTCCTGCACCGCCCACAAACCCCAGGTCTTTTTCTCTCTCTCACACACACTATTTTTTTTTTTTCCCTTTTTCTCCTCTCCCCTTTTCTTGTTCTTAATAGCAGGCTAAATAAGCAGCAAGTGATGCTGAAATGTTTTCGGCCAAAAACAGAGGCCAAACTCCTCTGAGAAAACATTTGGCCTCTGTGGTTTTGTAATATGTTCCAGAACACCGAGTTCACTGAAGAACATTGTGAAAAGCTCCCATCGGCTGGAGTGATGCTGGGGAATGTTACTGTATCCCGACTTCCAATTGGTCCATTTCCTGCAGGCCTTGTTAAAAAAAAAAAAAAAAAAAAAAAAGCGCTATGTGGGAGTTAAAACAAGTTCTCATGGGAAAAATGAATGGCAAGAAATTCTAGCTTTAAAAGAAACAACTAATCTGCTAGTTTGATTGTTCTTCAAAACTTACAATGAACCAATAATCCTAATTAAAAACACTTGGCCTAGTTCTCTAAAGCATCATAGCTTTTTCTGTGCTTCGTTTGTACACACCATAGACTATTAGTTTTTTTCTAGTGCTCACTAACAAAGTGCTGACTTTGTTGGGATGGCTGAGCTAATTTCGTGAACTCAGTGTGAAACCTTAGCTAAACAAAATTGTGGTAATTTTCCTTAATTTGTAAAAGTGATTGGAGTGCAAACAAAATTTTCCTCTTGGGTCAATCCTATAATTTTCAATTAACTAAAACTAATCGGCAGGCGTGTACTGAACCTGCATTTTGTTTAAAGGGCTGGAAGGCACTTCTGAAGGTCAGGATGCATTAATTGTTTTTATTTTAGTTTCATTTAGTCCTTTTTAAAAAGCCACATTTAAGTTCAGGCTGCCTCTAAAAGGAAAATGCAAATTGTCTGAGGTACAATTTCAGTCACAATAGCTTTTCTGTATCTACCGTAACTCCATAAAAGCTGCATAAGTAAGAGAATTGTCCATGGATTGGATCACCTTTGATTTTATCATTGTTGTTTAGTATTTCATAACTTTCATTTATGGAATGAAAAATAATGTGTTTTAAACACTAACCTGAAAATGCTTATATGGAAACACTCTCCCTACTGGGACACCTTATTTCCACATTCAGCCATCTGCTTCTGGGCAGACAGGCTAAACCGCCGCCCTCCTTTTTACTGGAAAAGCTAATTAATGATGATCTGAAAAGCAAAACCAAAATGGGTCGAAGCCATTTTTACATGTAAATCGCAAAACAAAGTCCCCAAAAATTTCTTCGCAATGTCGAGGGGGGCAGGTTTCCTCCCTTTCTTCTTCTGCATGCATACTTGCCGTCTCACCAGCCCGAGATGCGGCCACCTCGGTGGCTTGACAATGTGCAGGACAGCACAACTTATCGTACGAAAGTGAGAAGGGAAAGGATTCATGGTCAAACTGTCCAGAGGTCTGGCTGACTCTTTCATGTGGTACACACTGGCCATTTGCACCAGCTGGCAATTTGACCCTTTGCTTTTTCTTTTTCTTTTGTTCCAACACATTCAAACCCTAAATAACTTTTTTGATATGGTGTGTTATTGTCCAATATATGAATTTCCCACACATTGTTGAAATCACAATGCTCAAAATAAATACACACAGCCTCCACAGGCGCCTGCTGCTCAGCCAGCAAGGCGATATGTGAACACTTTAAGACCCAGTTTAAAGAAACCCAGTGCATAATCCTAATTAAGACTTTAAAACTTTAAGACCCAGTTTAAAGAAACCCAGTGCATAATCCTAACTGGGGAGAGGGTATTTGAAAAAGACAAAGCAGCTTGATAAGGCACCTTTGTCCAACTTGCTCAGTGTTAAGAAAAAATCAAAGTAGAGCTTTGTTACCCAGCTGGAGCACAGAAGTCTCTCCTCTGCCTGGAGTCCCTCTGCGTACATTCACAGTTGGAGCAGTATACGTACCCAGTGTAATTCAAAATGCCTCATAGCCGCAAGTATTTATGATATATCTTACTCTTAAAGTTTTGGGGGCAATCAAGAATAGTGAAATAAATTGCACTGGGCTGTGATGAACCACAGTTCAGGCAAACAGTTACAGAAGCAGTCCTGTCTGCGTATGTTGAACAACAAGCACATAAAAAGACAAGCACATCAAAACCTGGCCCAAGCCATTAATTCTTGTAGCATGCATACCTTCCAAGGAATCAAAGACACACATTCTTTTTAAAAAGTTAGGCTGCTACTTGATTTATTTCCCAGGCCATTCTCATCACTACTGAGAGTGGTTTAACATTGACAGCACCTGCAACGTCCTAGCATGGGTTTTTTGTTAATAATTCTTCAGGCCAAACCGCTTGACTTAGTGGTCTCAGTGTGGGATGCCACCCCAAAACACACTGCAAGTCACTATGTCTGCGGCATCGGCTGGGGTGAGAGCTACTTAGCCTCCCTGGAAGTCACAGACAAGTATGTTATGGTGAGATGGGCAGCAAACAGGCTGCTGCTTTGAACACTTGCCGGACAACATGTGATGGAGATATTTAGCAAGACGCTTCTTGGAAGGCAGGTTCATGATTGCACTGGTATGTCTGGCTCTTTACGCTTGCACTCTTCCTCTGTTTGTTTAAGTAGTGGAGTATTTGGTTCTCTCCTTCCTCCCCCCCTCCTGGATAAAGAGATGTCCCACTGCGAGGACAAACAAGCAAACAAAAATCCCACACTGGTATGTTTTCAGATTCATCCCTACAGTCATCCATTTCGGAAATCCAACCTTAAACTGGTACCTTCAACGACGTGCTCAGCCAAAATAATAAAATGCAGTACAGCTTTTAATGACGAAAGCAGAGGCCCTAGCAAGTGTGATATATTGCCTGCCTTATTTCTCGACATTATATCTAGTACTAAAGCATCCTTACCTGTGTAAATGAATCTTCCAGGTGTTCCCTTGCAAAACTGCTTAGACTTGTAGGACAATGTGACTTCTACAACCCCTGGGATATGTCGGGGAGGTGTCTGTACGCGGATGGCATGAGGAGTAATCAGCTAGAGGAAAACATTGAGAAGGGAGAAGAAAGGGGGAAAAAACACTGTTAGATGCTGAACACTTCTTTAATAACACTTTCATCTCAGATCACAGTAAACAAGCTTTGAAACATGTAATTAACCTGTCAATGTTTGAATACAATCTTGATGTAACCCACACAAAAGCCAGTGACTACAGTATTTACAAGCATTCTCCTCAGCCGTAACAACATTATTTCTGTTTTCATACATGGCAGGCACTTGCTTCCTAGTACAAGCATTAGCCCTGGTTTAATGCAATAACTTTAGCTTACAGCAGCAGGATGCCTATGTTTGCTCAGGTGAACACTGGGGTCATGACAGTGTCCAACAAATCTGATTGATAAATGATACGCAGTTACATGTGTGAACATGGCACAGCGCAAGCCCAGGCTGAGATTCATGCACAGCCCAAGCCCAGGCAGGCCTTTAAATGCACTGGTCCCCAGCTGACATCTGTACACTGCAAAAGCACCATGTGCTGCTGTTTTAATTTTCTATTCATTTTGTGGAGGTATAACTGACTACTACAGAAATGCAAAGTCTGGCTTCTGAAGGATGCTGGAGCTTTCCTTGCAAATGATCCGAGCACTCAAAAGAGATATACCAAATACAACCATCTAACCATCGCTTCCAGTCTGGCTTCACTGCAATGACTGACACACATCTGAGAGGGCTCCTGCAGATGTGGATTTACACAGTAATAAGTAGACAAACTTATCTTTCTTGCTAATGGGGCTGGGGATCCTGATTGTCCTAACACAAAAGGTTGGGGTGGGTCAGTGCTGCACTTTCCAGGCTCTAGACCATTTTTGCTCTTTCAGAATTCTGGACTGGATTTAAAACATAGTCCCTGAAATTAATATTAGAGCCATCTAGGAGTTCACTAATTTATGGCAGGTTAATTCAAATCTGTGCTGCACTGAGAAACTACAGCATTGTCCTCCCCAAAACTGAAATGTCCTCTCCTCACTCATTATGCTCCCCCAGACAAGAATAGTAAAAAGAGGTACATAGAAAAGGTGACATGATTGTGTCCAGCAACCAACATATAGCTCTGTCACACAGATAATCCTTCTCTGGCTGTGGCACATTAACACATTTGACTTACATCCTGGATCAGGGAATACATTTCAATTTTTTTTTTTTTAATAAAAAGCTAATTTTATTCTTACTTTTACTAGGAACCAAATATTACAAAATTGTAGTAAGGTCCTACAAAAAAAAAAAAAAATCAGACTTTTAACCAGTTCTTTGTTTAGGGCACAGTACTAAAAAAGCACAGAAGGAGAGTAATGTCTGTCTGAGAGCCATCTGTGTTACTGAGGGAAATGGCATACACAGTAGGAAGTTCTCCATATTTAAAATAAGAAAATTAATATTAAATCAAGTTGAAGATTAAAACCAAAACTACCAGCATCAAATGCTCCAAAAGTTATTCAGATCCACAGAAGTCATAAGTCGTATGTCATTTTAGAAAGGATCATGTAGGAATCGATGCCTTCTTGTTTGTAAGCTCCAAAGAACATGTTTTCAGACTCTGCTTTGAAATCATGTGATTTAGAAACTTATTTATTTTTAAAAGAAACCTGCCTTTTTTCTAAATTACTCTATCAACTGGGTAAAAAAAAAAAAAAAAAAAACCCACACCAAACCAAAAACCAAACTTCCAAGGACTGCTTTTACTTGAATTGAGTTGTTTTACAGTTGGTCTGACCAAAACCTAAAAGTCTAGGCCAATTCTCTAGATGCCCTCAATAGTTAGTGAGGGCAGAAAGCACTGCCAAATAGCAATTTTTTTCCAGTGCTTTAGACACCTCTCATGTTGGGATGAGCTGCTCTCTGGAAGCATCTACCTCTCTCCAGTGAGCTGAGATGACAAGTTTAGACTAGATGCTTAACTGTAGGCAGCCAAACATAGCTGAGATAAATCCCATCCTCAGGTGGTTCTAGTTAACTGGGTGAACTGGCAAGATGAGAAAAGTTTCATGACATTTTTAGGGGGAAAATATTTGTAAAAACAGCCAAGGATTTTAAAGTAAATGTTACCATGCTAGTCTTACTACATCAGCATGTGCCTTGCACCCCTCAACCCCCATTCTGGCATGAGCTATACAGGCAGCTTCTGGTTGTATCTTTGAATTTCCCAGCATTTACTGGTCTGTCACCACTTTAACATTCTTTAAATATAATTTGTGGCATTTTCCAATACTCATCTTCCCTGGTTCCCAAGAAATGTCTGACCTATTTATGGTCCATTGTTACAGAGAGCTGGGGAGAGTTAAGCAAGTTTCCTGGTTTGTTCTCCACAAACAGTTTGGTTTTCCTTTGTGCTCTGAAGTAAATAAGTTTAACTGTGTTTAAAACCACAAATATACAATAATGTCGCCCACACATTCCCAAAGGGTGAACATTATGTCTGAAGTCCTATGGTTTAGGATACTTAAGTTATATTTTACTCCTCTCTTCTCTAGAACTAAAACTTGGGAGGTATACCAGGAGAATACATGCGCCTTTTCCTTTTGCTTTTTCTCCCTAGCATCTGTCGCTGACCACTGTCGGGGATATAGTGCTGAGCTAGAAGGACCTTTGTTCTGGGTCAGCTTTCAGTTCTCATGCACACAGAAAGGAACTGTAGCTCAGTTACATACCAGTAGCCATATCAAGAAATTGTCTTTAAGGGACAAGCAGTGTCACTGCACTTCAAAACCTGCCCTCTGAACCTCACCTTTGGTCTCAAACTCTGATTCCCTAGTTCAGCCAGGATCTGCATTATGGACTGGGATCAGCTCTCCAAATTGCCCTAACTCCATTTTGCAATCTGAGTGGCTCAATGGGTGCTCCACGGGTCTGGGTACTCCAGGCCCACCCACAACAAGAGCAAGTCTACCCCTGACTTCAATAATTCCAGCATTTTGGAATGTTTACACTGTCAACCTGTGCCCTGACCTTGGGACTCCACTCCACCTTTTCCTAGCATGTTCTCTCCTCTCACACTGACATAGCCTGTACCTTCTTCAAGGCACTGTCTGTCTCATATCTGCATGTCAAGCATGTGGAAAAGGTGAGCTATTAGCATCAAGGGATATTAAAAGTAAAGACACCACTTGTGGAAGCCTCTGAGCCCCAAACTGTTGGAGACCGATAGACTGTTCTGGGGAAGCATCACTACATGCTCATCCTGTTGTTTTTATAGACATCTGTCATTGCCCAGCGCCAAACACAAGATACTGAGCTAGATGAACCTCCATGTCTGACCCCATATGACCATTTCTATGTTCCCACCACAGGTGGGAACGCTTGGAGCATTAACAGACATCATAACAACCATAGCAATGACATGCCAAGAACTAAGAATTTGTAAATATGAGTTACATACATTTCTGAACACATTTTTTTAATCTAAATCTTGAGCAAGGCATTAACCTGTGATTTGGAGATGAACCCGCCAGCCAAAATCCCAGATCCAGCTTCCTCTTCCATTCCAGCATTTGGCTAATTGAGATCTGGAGTTGGACATAAAACTAGTAACTGGACCCTTTCTCCCAAGGGATTTTCAAGTTAATTGGTCTGATACTTGGCAACTGCACTAGATGTTTGATATAAACTCTTACATGTCAGTTGGGACATGCTGTGGATTGCATTAAAACCTGAGTTAGAGACCTTCAGAATGGAGGTGTGTGTCCTTCAAAATCCGAAACACATTTGGTTTCAGTGTGTACAACAAGCCTCTTTCTGTGGTTTGCTAATATATTCTAGACATTCTTGTGTGATACAGCATCATTCCACACTCTTCAGAGTGCCAGGTTACTTTCTTTTTTTAAAAGTGACATTTTATAAGGAGATGTCATTAATCTGAGTCACTAGTTTATTTTTGCATGCTTGAGCTCTGGTTTGTGGTTAGGGAAATGGTGACAATCAGTCATAAATTTAACTTGGACTCTGTGTGAAGAGGAGCATTAGGACAGCAATGAAGAAAAATCCCACCAACTGAAGGTAATGACAGCTTTCAGTGAGAACAGGACTCTTAAGATACCTATATTTTTAAAAATGACCAGTGACTTTGCATGCCTCAATTCTGGGCATCCAGCATCCAGATGCTGCTTAATAAGCCTTGGTTTTCAAAAAGAGGGTGCCTACTCATTTTTTAAAAATGAGTCAGACCTCCAAAATAAGCAGTCAAAAACAGAGACTTCCAAAATCAATAATAAACATAAAAAGCAAAATAAAAAAAAGGTGTTACAGAATTTGATTCAGCAGCATTAAAAAAAAAAGAAAAAAAGCCAAACCAAAAAATCATCCTCTGTTTTGGTGCTGTATAAAGGTAAAAGAACTGATGTTTCAGTGCTTCATCTTTTCTTAATATAAAAGAAAAAGAAGTTGTTTCCAGCTGACTCTGTACAGCTGGAGGAATGTTCTTGGCAGCAAAATGTTTGAAGAAATAGTTCATTTTAAGCAAATATTGTGGAATATTTATAAGAAACTAATTTTGTCTTCACAATCATGTATTTGCCCTGAAACTCAGCTGTCAGAGTTTCAGCCCCCCAATAAGAGAGAGAAGCAACAGAGGATTTTTATCAGCAGCTCAGATTCTGAATATTTGCAACAACACACAAACCCAGAATGCTGGGTAAAAACCTGGAAATAACAACTCCGTCTGTTTGTGGACTGGACAAACAGAAAGGCAGAGTCTATCTGGCAAACAGACTATTTGCTGGGAGTTGTCTGTCCAGATTCAGCATGTGCACACGATATACCAATGCTGTTTGTTTGTTGGTTATGAAAGTCCCTTGAAAAAAAAGGCATTAGATGGCCCATTTTCCTCTATTCTAAAAATATCAAGGGCTTTTAAAGTCATTTTTATAAAGTAATATGGGAGTTAAGGATTAATTGAACCTACTGGCTTAGGGTATCTGCATTTCTGCACAAAATTAATGTGACAAATTAAGTTTTTATTTAGTTCTCCCTGGCTGAGAAAGGTTGTAATTATGTTAGAGTGTTTACAGCTAAAATATATGTTTAAATAATAAATATGTGTTTCAGAAACCATTTTAAACCTCCTTTTTTAACACAGTCAACTCCATTTCAAGCATATAAATATTTCAATTACAAAACTTGAATACATGTAAAATAAATTAAAACTATATTATTTACATTTCAAATTATTTATAACATATGCTGCTTGACAGCAACAAATTCACTCTTAAAATGAACAAGTTTGTTTTTTTTTTTACTTTTAACTTGGCTTCTGAACTGTGGTAGGATTTATATTTTAAATATCCATGCATCTCAGGTACATACATGGATTTTGCTATAATAAAATCTGAGTAATACAGGACCTTTATGATGATTATCTCCACAGCACCTCTCCAAAGAAGGTGACTAATCTTATTACTATGTTAGCGAAAGGGAATTGAACTTTAAGCAGATCATGTAATTTGCCCAAGGTCCCATGCGAAGTCTGTGGCAAAATGATGCTTAATTTAAATATTAGACTTCATCCCCCAAACCACCTGCAATTACAACTGAAAGTGAAGCTAGAAAAATCCATGTAAAAATGCTCTGCAAGACTCACTCTTTTTCTTTAGTTTCCACCTATCTAGTTTTGGTTTGGATTTTCTACGGCTCGGTTAAAATCATGTTTTCTTTGGATCCATGAAACAACAGGATGAACTTGAAAATTCTTCTTGAATTCAATGGCAAAATAACTGGCCAGGCTTGGTTAAAACTGGGCCTGACTGGCAACTCAGGATGAACTTGCTCCAGGTTTGAAGATCAACAGTTCAATTCTACACTCTATGAAGGTAAAATAAAAATATTCTTCCTGGGTACTGAAAATGCACTAGACATTTTTAGAAATGGGAAAGCAAATGAAAGAACTTATTTCGTACTTCATATGTGGCTCATATGTGTAATTTGAATTATTTATAGATCACTATTATTTAGGGATCACTCAGCTCATGCATTTCTGCACTTGTTTATCATGTCTGTTTGCTTCTTTTAAAAATAATTTCTTTTCCCCTACAGGATTTTCTATTGCTCTCATAGGTTATGAAACTGAGAAGAAATTCTGTAAGGGAGAAACAGTGAAAAACATTTTTCACTCAAAGCCAACTTGCAGCCCATTATAGCATTCACAATGAACACACTGACTTTGGTCTAAACCCCCTCTAACATTATTAATTTTATGACAAGGCCTTGCAACCATCAGCAACAATGTTTTGACCAGCACTCACTCTCTTGAGATTAGAAATTGCCAATTAATGGGTTCCACTAATAAATAGAATCAAATTTTATAATGAAAGATCCAACTCTGCAGTACCAAAATCGGAGCACTTTCCTCCCAGCCTCTTCACCTTTCCCTGTTAAATGTCTGTAGCCATAATGGCTTCAATCCTAACACACAAAATGCTTACACTGGACCCAGGGGGCACTTTCATGATCACATAAGGGCTTCAGAATAGGGCTCATTTAATATATCTCCTTTTCTGGAATGCCCTTTCATCCACTCTTGTCCTCAAGTGGAAGGATGAGAGAGAGAGAGAGAGAGAGAATAGCGAAGCCCATGAAGGACATTAGAGGATACTCTTCATATGGAAAAAATGCTGCCATATGTGCAATGGAATCAGTAGGGGGGAATGTGCTGGATATGAATTAAGCTATAATGTTGATTCAATATTTATAGGATACAAGGCAAAGCATCAGAAGATCCTTACATCACTGGGTAAGCATTGTATAGCTATTTCAGAGACACTGTTTTGACTGTTAGCATGTTTATTTCAGTATTAAAATAATGAAAATAACAATTTCTTATAAAACCTCCAAAATGCTTTTGAAAAGTCATAAATACAAAATGTAAACCTTTCCTTGGAGCTGCCTTCCCATGCCAGTGAAGCCAGTGGCAACTCTGCCCCAACTTCTATGGCCCTGCGCTCTGGAAGTGCCCGTTCAGGTGACGCTGCCTGGGTTTTAACTTTCCACGGGCTTTTGGGGAATATCAAACTCTGCGTTTAATTATGTGCCAGGAGAAGAAAGGATTTAAGAAACTGGGAGGAACAGCAACAGCAAAAAATGGATAAGAAACAACAAAAGGGTTACTGTGAAACTACAGAGGCCCCCGCTAGGTATGACGAGTCTGTATTTTCCACTGTGGATACAATACTGTGTATTTCATTGCTATTATGCAGATGGTACTTACACCAAGCACCTACACTTTAAGGATATGCTATTCAGAGGCGCTGAATTTCTGCAATCTCCACCTCATTGAGCTGCAGCTACAAGCAGGCAGTTTCCCTGGAAAGCAGGATCACCTAAACGTTTGTTTCCTGTGGGCCCTTAGCTATTGTAGTGCTAAATGCAGAATTATTCACACAGGCATTTATCCTTCCCTTTTCTTGGAATAAAAGGCACTGAGCTAAATTCTGGGCCAGTGAGAGAAGATGCAAATCCCTTGGCTATATTGGATTTCTGCCACAGGTAAATTTGACTAATTATTTTCATAAAACTGAATGAGGAAAGGATTCACATCTCAACATTTGTTGCTGATTTAGCATGTGGCATAGAAAAAGGACAGGCTAGCTATAAGCTAGACAAAGCTATTAGACATTACCGTTCAGACAACACCTACCTCACTCCAAACCAGCATGGTGCCGAATATGACCTGTAACCCATCAAAGAAATTGTCTCCTATGATGATGACAGTGGCACCTCCTGTAGTCCATCCTTCACTTGGACTGATGGCTTTGATACATGGTGTAGCTGCTTTTCAACACACATGAAAAAGAGAAGTATTCTGCTGTTAGAACCAGATTTTAATGATAGAAGACTTGAGAAAAATAAAATAAAAGGACCTTTCATTTTCCCCCCTTACTAACACAAAGATTTCAGCAATCACGTTCTTTCTAGTACATGTGCATGACCTCAAACTATAGCTTTGGAAGCACTTTTTCTCAATTAATTTCTGTTTGGTTTTATCATCTACATTGAAAAAAATTAACTTTTTTAAGCCTACATTAACAAAAAAAAAATCACAGCATGATGGGCAGAGACCAGTTGGAAATCAGGGCAAATCCCTATCTTTAGTCTATATGAAATGCGCAATACCTGAGTTAATAAAACAATCTCCAGTGAGTTTGCTTTACTATCCACCATAACCTAAATTCACCAAGGAAACTCCAATAAATATTATGGAAAATATTGGCTAAATAAAAAAGGGTGTAACCCTCAGCATTTCTTTAACTATTCTGCAATCAAATCCAGGTTGTTCTAGTATTAAACCACCCTGCCCTACTTAATGCTTTGGCTAGTACAAAAAAAAAACCAACCCAAAACCCAAACCAAAACCAGCAAAAACAAAACCTACAACCCTGCCATCTAGTTGTTCCACTTATGTTGCATCTACTGGATAATTAAGAAGTGTGTGCAATGCATTCTGCCATATTCATGGAGTCTGTCCCCACTTTCACTAGCCACTTTCTTGGCATCATATGTACTAAGTGCCTCCTGAGAGGATGTTGAAAACTCAAGCACTGCTTGAAGTAGTAAGCTCAAATCTTGGTGTCAGACCTTCTGGTTTAAGACTATCTAAGCAGAAGCATGGTGAACTTCATATATTGGTGGGATAGGGCAATATAAACATCCTCATACTGATTCTCCTCCTCTGCAGTACCAGAGTACATCAGAATTTAACTGTGCTGAAGCAACAGGAATAACATTTCTGTAAAAATAACCTGAAAAAGACAAAAAGCCCTGGGTAACTGTCAGCTGTGGAGTCTCAGGGTGGTCATATAGGTTGATGAAAAGAAGCAACTCCATCCCAAATGCCACCAACTTCTACTTGCTAATACAGCATGAGGTGAAAATATGACACCATACCATTAGATAACATTTCAAGTAAAGTGGGTACCTCAACAATTTCATTAGCCATGAAAAACAGATTCCTTAAGGGGCAGCAAAACTCCACCAATCAACCTCAACGTTGAAAGGAAAGATTCTTTCCTTTAGATATGAACCCAGTCCTCAGCAGAGAGAAGAGGCTGGCTCCGCTGCAAACACATGAAGGGCTGCTATTGCGCACACTGATTCCGCAATGCCAATCACGTGTCAGCCAGCAAGACTTCATTAGCTGCATATAGATATCTGCATATATACCTCTTCTTTCAGGGTTGCTGGCATTTGGCTGTGAATTGCTACTTGGTCAAAAGGCTGGCTGAGCTGTTAATTTGATTTGCAACTTTGAGTATTTGATGATGTACTCAAGGGAGAGCAATCAGACACTTCATCAGGTAAGGATTTACTAGGAAGATAGGGGTGTGAAAGCCACCCACATGTTCGCACCATCCAGGACAACACCCTTGCACCCATGAATTACTTAATGTGGCTGTCCAGTGGACACAGCCCCTGCCCTACATTCTTCTAATTGTAAAGACAGTAAATTCATTCACAGAAGCCTACTTTAAAATGCATCTTTGCGATTATTTAGTGAAGTTCTGGTCAGTTGGAGCTAATTACAAGAGCCTGTGAGGCTGGTGAGAAGCTCCCTCCTCCCAGCCCCTGGGCAGGGCAGGTGGGCGTGGAGCTGGGAACCAGGAGGGAACTGGGAAGGGAACTGGGAAGGGAACTGTTGAGTCACCCTCAGCAGTGCCCACAGAAACACTGCTGCAGACTCACCACCCGTGATGGAACACATGCACGGGGAACAAACAGACCCCATCCCTACCTACAAAAGGTTGTGTCAGGCACAAACTTTTCCACTACTTAAGCTGATGGGGATGCCAGCTCCAGTGAAAAACACAAACACACAGGCAGAAAAAAAATCATTACCCTGCTCCAAACTTGGCAGAGCACAGCCATTAACTTTTACATGAGCTAACAAAAGAAACATCCTAACATTACCGTCATGAAAATGTAGTGCGCACACAGAAGTAACTTCAATATGTTTAATTTGGATTCAAGTTACTTGCATAAAACTGTGCATAAAAACCATTGCGAAGTCCAAAACCAAATGCTTTCCTTTCAGCCGAGCTCACAGCAATGGATTTACAGTGAAAGCAGCTTTTCAAAATGCCATCTAGACCTTTCACAGAATTGAACTTTTTCATAAATAAAAAATAAAATCACTTCCAAATTACACCCTTTCCAGTATTTCCAGTTGATTGTGGGGACACACACCCCACAATAAAACCCAAAGATAATCAGTTTCCCATGTGTCAGAGAATAAGCTACTTTTCTTAAAGACTACAAACAACATTTTTTTCCTAAATACCAGTGAATAAAAACTGTTTGAGACCATAAGCCATTAACAGAAAACATATGCAGGCTTCAAAATTATAGATTCAATTCATCTTTAAAATGAATGCAAGATACTGTTCTGCAGTTACAGGTCCCCGCTAAAGGTCTCGCTATTTATCTTGTGATGTTCTTTGTGATACCTACATTGCACTCAGAAGTGCAAGGTGCTGCACTGTCTGTGCTACCTCATGTATTTCGTTCTGATATTTGATACATGTATGTGCTTGATATCAACTACATGCCAAGTCCCATGGCAGCCAGGGGGACTTTGAGCAGACACTCAGTTCCTTGTGCTGCACTGGGGTTGTGGGTTGTTCACTGGGACACTCTCACCCGCAAAGTCAATGTGACCACTCCCACGTGTAATTTTATTTCAATATGTAGCAATTGTGCTGAATCAGTGCCTCACCAAAACTGCTGGCAGTAGCCCAGGACATCTCCTCTGAGGAAGAAAAGTCAGTACTTGGTGGTTTAACAAGCAGGGCAGGTTGGTACCCTTTGCAGGCACTACCTGAGAAGCAGCGAGAGCACTGTGCATTCCTGAAAGATTTCAGTGCATTATTTTCCCTTGGGACCAGTCACAAAAACCAGTGGGACTTCCTAACTTTCCCCACACGTAAGCTTCTCTTATCTCAAAATGCTAGTGTCTGTGAAGACTGGAAGGGCTGCACGAAGGTGCGGCCCCGCAAGGGAAGCTGCACTGAAGGGCTGCATCCCGAGGAAGCCGGAGGAGACGTGCTGAGGGAGGCATCCAGACTGCTACCTGCTTTTGAAGGCACAAAACATGTTTATACAATGACATATTTGCAACAGCCAGTGTCGTTTGGGACATTGGTCTTACTAAAGTTTTGCCCTTCCCAGGCCCTTTCCTTGGAGCACCAGGGATGACGGAAGAATCGGGTCCCAGTTGCTGGCGTCACCACAGGTAACGTCGGGAGGGGGGCGAAGCAATGACCTCAGCTCTATTTATGCCCCTGGTACAAATGTCTGGCCAGCTCAGGCCCTCAGCTCTTCATATTTTTTCTGTTAATCATTTGGCAACTTTCAAAGCACTGTCTGGAAGGTGTTTACTTCTGTGCAACCCTAGAAAAACAGAGCTAGGCAGAAAAATCTTTTCATTGGAGAGCTTGATTTTTCTACATTTTGTTTTGGTCACAAGAGAAACCAAAGAACAGAACATTTCTTTGCAGAATGCAAAGTTCCAGAATCTCTATCTAGAATTAACTGTAATACTTTTTAATATTTCCAAGAAAAACAAAATATTTTTTTTCAAAATATTATCACTTCACTTGCCCTTCTGTAACACCAAAGCATCATTTCTAGAATGGCGTTTTTAAAACAAATATTTAAAAGTTACATGAAATTTATGTTTTTCTGTAGAAAAAGAGATTTTAGCTGAAGTCTGCAACTTCACTGATAAAAAAGATGCAGTGAAGGACTTTAGACCAGTTCTAATAAAGGCAATGAAGTGTACATGATTGATAACATGAACGGACTTTAAGTCCAGAGAATAATTATAATAAAAAAGAATAATTACACATTCTTACACATATAAACATTTTTTTAAAATGAACAGCTGGCAGCCAACCACAACCAGAACCAAAAGAGTTTGGTAGCCTAACTACCAGATAAGATTTTAAGACTCTTTAGCATGAGTGTATTACATTTGCTGCATGTTTTCAGAACAGTCGCTGGACTGTGGAAAAACTAAATATTACCCCTCCAACTGCAGGCATGGACCTTGCAGCTCCTTGCTGAAGGTGATGTGGCCACATCCTCCACCTGCTGAAAATACCTAATGGTTATGAGTCTTAATGAGCTGCTGTTCTTCTTTCCATAATATCAAGGCAAATCAGTGTTAACATCTGACATGTTCCATTGTGCTGCTCCTGTGGTTTGAGTTAACAGATTTAGATGTTAAAGGGAGGCACTGCACTCTCAAACTTATTGAAGCCAGTGAGAATTTTGCCACTGACTTCAAAGCTAAGGTCTCTATCGATAAATTTTAAGGATTTATGAGCAAAACCCTTAATTTTTTGGTTTCAAGAGAAACAATGTTCTTTTGAAATCTTCATCTTTTCTCAGAATATGTATTGTTAAAATCTTACCATCTTCCATACAAAGGATGGTAGGTACCAACTTCAGCACACAGGTAGTGACAAGAAAAAGTTTCTCGTTGTGTGCTGTGTGTTCCTGTGTTCCCATACTCCCCTAGCTACTGATATACAGGGGATTTTTCTTCCTTCAAACTGTGACAATAAAATGATTACCCCGCCACAGTTTAGCATAATGGTTCAGAAATGCTCGTGGCATATTGCAGAGTTAAAGTGGAAATTATTAGGTAGCTCTTCTTTGTTATAATAATGATCACTCCACAAATAAAAGCTCTTCTCCCAAAGGTACTGCAAGGCACAAAATGCTAATTCTGAAGATTATGTGTGCGCTTTTATTAAATATTACTATGCCCT